AATGACAAAAGTGGTCTGTGATGATAAGTCAGATGGTAAGTATTTTTGTTTGGTGGCACCTGTATTTGGGAAGAGGCATGAGCTAAGCTGAGTGCTGGCAATATTCCATACCTTGATCTTCGAAGTGATTACACAAATGTGCACTTTGTAAGAATTCATCATTTGTGTACTTAATATTTGTGTTCTTAATTGTATGTATGTTATACTGCAATAAAAAAGTATATGCAAAAATAAAAAGAGGTTCTCAGGGTACCTTCTTTAATTACACACAAGAATAGTAATTAGCATTAACATTGTTCGTATAAAATAGGCCCTGGTAAGTACTTAATTTATATCCCTAAGTAATTTAAACACTGATGCTATATATAATACGAATAGAAAAGTTGTGTTGTAAAAAATAAGAAAAATTAAATTAAATTTCAGCTGGCTCTTATTCAAGTGATCATAATTCAAGGTACTTCAATTTGAATGATTTTTGAAAGTTTCTCACTTTCCATCTGAGTAGTATTTTTTCTCTCCATTGCATGGAAGTATACAAGTTAAGTGTGGAGAGAGCAGGGTCTGTGTGTTTGGTGGGTTGGTCAGGGGTAGAGAGATGGAAGGAAACTAAAGGGTTCAATCTGATAGGTTAGATAAAATCTTAACATTGTTATAATATCGACCTAAACGCATCTGAGAGAAACACAAAGATTTTTTATGAGATGGACCCAGGCACAATTTTCAGAGCTGGTCAGCCTTAATCCTAATTCTATTCTTTATATTCCCATTTTGTTCGAAGCCAAAGAACTCACACAATTTCCTAATGAATATAAACATATGCAGCTGTCCATACTAAATCAGGAAAACACATTTACCCCAACTTATTGTAATCAGCATATACAGAAGTCATATAGGTATGGTATAAACGAACTAAAGGCTAATCTGACCTATAAATTTGATGCAAAATCTTAAAATATTAGGAAACAGAACAAAAAAGTATATTAAGATAATAAAACACTGTGACCAAGTGGTATTTATTTCAGCAATTGAAGGATGGTTCAACATTAGTAAAATGTATTACATAATTCACATTAATCAAACCAAGAAGAACATATTTACACAATCATCTCAAAAGTTATTAAATTAATATTTGATAAAATTTAATATACATTTGTGATGAAAAATAGAGTTGAAACTGTTAGCCCCCACCACCACCACCTACCTACACAGTGAAAATTTGGCTTGTAACTTAAGTAGACCCTTCAAATACTCAGATTCCCATTCACCAGGTGACCCTTGAACAACATGGATTTGAACTGCTTGGGTCAATTGGTCCAAAATCTGCATATAAGTGAACCTGTGCAGTTCAAACCCATGATGTTCAAAGGTCAACTGCACTTTTAATAAAATATGACTAGATGGCTATTTCCTTAAAATGATTAAATATGTCTGGCTCAACCCAGGAGCCAGAATCATGCTTAAATGGAGAAACATTATTTTCATTAATGAGGTGCATCCTCATTAAAGTTAGGAATGTAATAAGAATAACATTATGACTATTTTTATTTAATATTGTTCCTGGAGATTCTGGAAACCAAAGAAACCAAGGAAAGGAAACAAAATAAATTAGAGGTACAGAACTTCAAAACAAGAGGTAAAATTATCATTATTTTCACATTATGATTGTAGATTTTGGGGAGAATACACTGAAACATTTTTGCAAGCAAAGCAAATTCAGTAAAATGGATGGGTACAAAATGACTACACAGAAATCAATAACTTTCATGTACACAACTAATAGTAGTAAGATAAAATAAAAATATCTTATTTACAATAGCAACAAAAAATAAACATATCTAATAATAAATTTAACAATAAGTATACAAAAACTATTTGATATAAAGTTTAGACTATTCCCGAGGATCACAATAACAGATATGAACAAATAAAAAGTCAGTTCATAGCATAAGGTTGTAAATTCTTTCAAGTTAGTTTGTAAAAAAACACTTGTAGGATTTTTAAAAATATAGACAAAGCTGATGCTAAATTCATACAGACTATCAAACAAGCAAGAAGAGTCAGGGAATTTTTAAAAGAAAAGATCAGTAATAGAATACTTTTTCTTCCTGATAGTATAATACACAAATTTAAAAAATATATATATGAAAATAATTAAAACAGTGTGGTACTGATATATAACAGATAACTCAATAGAATATAATAAATGGTGTGGAAATCAGTCCAAGTATAGGAATTTGTTATATGATAAAGATGTCATCTCACAGAAGAGAGGAAAAAGATGAATTATTCACTGAATTATTTTAAGATAACCAGGGTGACGTCTAAAAAAAATAAGTTTGGATCCATATCTCAACTTTTATACTAGGAAAAAAAAGTTAATATTTAAATGTACAATAATTAAAAACAAACAAAAGACTAAAAGAAACTGCAAGAAAATTCTTCTATAAACTTGGATGAAGCACTTTCTGAACTATATCTAAAGCCCAGAAGCCATAAAATGAGAAATTGCTTATGACTACTATATAAAAATAAAAATTTTATATGACAAAACAACCATAAACAAAGTTAAACACTAACAAGAAACTGAGGAAAGTATTTGTAGTTCAAAGGGCTAAATTTTCCCTTTAACAGAGTCCCCACATATCCTTGATAAAAATACCAACAACCCAACGGGAAACTAAAGAACAGAAACAATAGTTCACAGAGAAAAGAAATATAAATGACTAATGAAAGATGCCCAATCACTTATCAGAAAGGTAAAGACTAAAAAAAAAAAAAAAGGTTGGGTAACAACCCAGTTAGCACCGTCTAGAAACCGCACCCTCGTGCTCTGCTGGGAGTGTGAGCCGGCACCCCTTTGATGGAGGACAATTTGGCAATATCTATCAATATTCTCAATTCACATGTCCTTTGTTCCAGCACTTCCATTTCTAGGAATTTATCCTGCAGATCAATTCACCCATATGCCTTGTGGCCCAGGTTCTTAATTATTGTGCACGTCTACAATAGCAAAAGATTTGAAATGACTTAAACTTTCCATCATAGAGGACTGGCTACATACATAATGGCACATGTGCACAATGGAATACCATGTAGCTGTAAAACAAAGGAGAAAGCTCTTTATGTACTAATACAGAATGATCTCCGAAATAAAAGTACAAAAAAGTCTGTACAAGGTGCTAGCATGCTACCATTTGTAAAAAAAAAAAAAAAAAAAAGAATATAACACATAAATTTGCTTGTGTATTCATAAATTCTGTCTGAAAGAAAGCCCAAGAACCTGATAATAACATCTGTCACTGGGGTAGGACCTGGAAGGCTCAAGGACAAGGAAGGGAGACAGGACATTCTGTGCCTTTTGTACCCCTTTATTTTGAACCACGAGAATGTATTATCAAAAAATGCGCAACACAGAAAGTGTACAATGTGATATAAAGGGTGTAGTTACATTTCAGCCTGTCCATGCTTATCCTGAACTTGGCTGAAAGTAAGCTCTCTTGTTAAATCTGTACAGCTTTTTGACTAAGGCACCAAACAAGAGAAGTAATTTTTTTGCTTGAAAACCTATGTTCCAAAATAAAAGTTAAATAATAAAATAAAACATCAAAAAAGTAAAGAAAAACAAAGTTGCTCAACAATAAGAATAGTAGAATCAGTTTGTTTAAAAGCAGCCAAACAAATATCAACAACAAAAAATTAATTGTGTGAGTGTCTCTCTTAAGATACACACCAAAATTTTGGCGAGGAGGAAGAAGTGAGAGAACACGATTCTCTCTTTTTTTAGATATTTCCATATTGTTGAGTTATTCAGATTTTTTAATGTATTAATTTTATAATTTGAAAAATTAGAAACAGATTTATTTTTAATCCTCACCCAAAGATATTTTTCCATTTATCGTCAAACAGAGTGGGAGGGAGAGAGAGAGAGAAACACTGATGTGAGAGAGACATGCTGGGGGCCAAACCACAACTGAGGTACGTGTCTTTGCCTGGCATCGAACTCATGACTCTTTGGTCCACAGGCCAATGCTCCAACCGCTGAGCCAAACCGGCCAGGGCTAGAAGCAGATTTAAATATAAAAGCCTAAAGTTCAATAGGTAACTAAATATACATAAACATGTTTAAGTTAGTAATAAAAAAATATAAGTTTAAAAGAGACACCATTAAGAGAATTTTTTTCAATTACATTTTACATTCAATAGTATTTCGAGGCTCCATTTTTTCACTAGTAAAATAACAATATTTAAAAAAATATAATATTCAGTGCAGAGTGTGGTGAAAAAGGTACTTTCATACATTAGTGGTAGAATATAAATTGGTACTTTTCCCATGTTTTAATTGAAATTTACAACCTAGTTATACGAAATAGCACAGAGAAATCCCATGTATCCTTTACCCATAGTGTTCTCTTTTAAAGAGTAATTTGTCAGTGTAAGTTGAAAATCTTAAAAGTATTCACATTTTCATCCAGAAATCCCATTTCTTGGAACCTATCCTAAAAAAATAATTCAAAGGAGAGAAAAAGCTACACGCATAAAAATGTCCACCCAAGACCATATGTAAAATATAAATATATTCATATATATAATTTATATATATATATCTCTATATATGTGAAGCCATAAAAATCAGTTCATTAAATAACATAGCCACTAGATAGTATATTAAATCACATTTATGTAGGCTATGAGGTAATAGGCTTAATACCTATAATATAATGTTGATTTTAAAAGATACAGAATTCTGTGTACAACCTAGTAAAAAATATTCATATGTGGACAATGAGGGGAAAGTGGTGAAATTATGTTTACTTGTCTGTTCCCAAGCTTTCTATAATATAATCTCAAATTTAACTTTTTCATATTTTTCAAGTTTTCCTACTTCTGTCAGAATTTAATTTGAGAAGGAAAACAGAGGAAAAGATGCCTGTTTATGAACAGCGACGGCAACTAACTGCCCAGCACGAACGGCGGACTTGGGTTCGGAAAGGGCCACTTACCTGCGTCCCGCTGCGGAGAAGGCGGAGGGGCCCTCTGTCCCGGGGCACCGACAGGCGGCGCCCGCTTCTCCAGGGGCGTGCTGTCCACCGGCTGCACCTTCCCCTTGGGGATGCTAAAGAGGTCCCGGAGGTCCTTTCTTTGTCTGGATTCTTGGAGGGAACTCTCAAAAGATTTGTCTTTCAGTCTGAGGGAGGAAAAGAGTGAAGTTTTTCTCTTTGGACTCCTAGAAGCATCTGGCAAGGTCTCTTGCAAACTCACTTTCTCAAGGAGCGTGGGGACATCTTCCATCTTGTTGCAGGGCGGGGACGCGAACCCGGGAAGCATCTTGGACGGGCGGTTGGGCAGACTGTGGGCGCGGAGGGCAGGGCCAGGGAGGCCAGGGGTGGAGGGCAGGGCGGCCCTGCCGGGCGGGGTGCCCAGGGAGAAGAAGGCGGAGGCCCTGCTCGCCATGTCTCTCCCCGCGGGCTGCTGGCTCCAGTCTCTACTGGAGCTGGGTTTCCGAAGGCTGAAGGAGCGCGCGCAAGCTTGGGGCTGGCTGGTGGGCAGAGGCGCTGACTCTGGCTTGATGCAGGCCTTCCTCCCACCTTCGGAGCTGGGGAGGAGGGGCTCCAGCGACCTCCGGATGGCATTGGCAATGAGCCTCAGCGGGGACTTGGGTGGAGCCCTTTCAGCTGGGGGCCCCCTCTTCTCCTGAGCGTCTGCCTGGGCCCTGGGGAGCAGCAAGGGGCAGACTGGTTTCAGCACTCGGCCTCCTCTGCCATTCTCGCCGCTCCTCTGGGCAAGTTGTGGCCCGGCCTCTGGGGGCAAACTCTTGGTGTTGAAGTCGTTCCAATCCAGCAGCCGGGTCTTCTGCTCCGGACTGAGGGCCAGCTTCTTCAGGCCCGACTTCTTCCCCTCCGCCAGCTCCGAGCCACCCTCCCCTCCCCTCCGGGAATCAGGGCTCCCTTCTCCGGAGTCTTCTCTAGCCCCAGGAGACAACTCTTGGTCTGGCAAGTGCCTGTCCTTCTCCCCGATGGGGGGTGGGCCTCTGTGGGGGCCTCCAGAGCCCTGACAGTCATCAGAAGCCATGTGTGCAGGGCTGGGTGGCCTGGGGCTTTGGAGGCCGTCTCCACCAGGCCTCACCAGGCAGTACCCCGCGCGCTCCAGCACCTGGCCATGAGGCAGATAGAGAGGGATTTCTTTGGGTGCTCCTTGGGCTCTGGCTCGCCTCAGAAAGATTGGGGTGGAAGGACTGAAATGACCTCTTGAGACCTGCAGGGCAAAAGAGAGCAGTGACTTAGAAATGTCCAGCATTTGTTTATACGAGAGAGGCACATCTCTCCAGAGCTCATTCCCAAAGTCAAAAGGAAGCCTGCCTCGGGTGATTTCAGGGGCAGCTCTGTTCAAATGGCTACCTTGGGACCTGCCGGGACCTGCCTGGAGCCCCTGGATCAGCACCGATCAAAGGCTTTTCTGGGTCTTGGTTTAGGTGGGTAGGAAGCCACAGGTAAGGCAAAGACATGGACAAGCTCCCAGCGATGGTGGGGCTGGCCTGGCCCCTTTGGGTGATCAGGCACACAGGGGAGGACAGGTCCCTCATGGCTCGCTCAGCCGTGGTCCCTACTATCAGACACGTTCCACCCACAGGTATGTTCCTTCGACTACCAAGAAACCAAGCTTGTTCCTCAGAGCCTACTGAAGTAAGGAGAGTGCTACTCTTCTGGGCTGGGCTGTGGTGGCCACGGGGACCTTCCAACGACTTTGCTAACCTGACTCATGCCTGGTACCACCAAGAGAGTTGTCGTTTCTAGCATGCAGGGACTTGGCCTTTGGGAAAGGAAGACCACAGGTGGACTCTAGAAGGAGGGCTGTGCCTGCGAGAGCTCTGGCCAAGGGCAGGTCACGGGACAGCAGCTCTATAAGTACACGTGCTTGTCCGTCGTGTGCCCTGTCCTTCCAGAGCGCAGAGCAGGGCCTGGCAGGCCACAGAGACCTGATGAACTCAAGTTGCAGGAAAGAGTCCAGCCCTGCATTTCCCAGTGATACCATTTTCTATTCAAGGAAAATGTTGCTTTCAAGGTTCTCAGCGTCTTCCAGAGGCACCCTTGGGTCTGTGCCTGCCCTCCTGCAGCTGCCAATTGCTCAACGCCCTCAGGGAGGACCTCCAGGTCACAGCCATGTCCTCGGGGAGGACCTCCAGGTCACAGCCAGGTCCACCCCTCAGCATCCCGCAGCCCCGTCCAGACCCAGGCCCCGCCCAGTGTGCTGAGTGAGTGAGCCAGAGGCTGCGCCCTGGGGGTGGCTGAGAAGGAGCAGGTGAGCTGTGAAGGAGGAGCTGGGTAGATCCTTGACAGACCTTCTCTCCGGCCCTGGCTTTGCACATGGGGCGGCCTGTCAGTGCTAAGAAACCAGAGTTGAGTGTTGAAGTGGGGGCAGGAGAGGCAGCTTACTTTCCACCGCTGTGCAGGTGCTGAGACGGACTTACCTGCGGTGGGGAGGACCTGCCCGGAACACTGCCTGGGATGCTCCCTGGAGAAGGTGCTGGGGAAGGCGAAGCAGAAGACAAGGAGGAAGCAGAATCAGAAGGGGAAGCTGCCTTGGGAGATGACACGGTTATTTCGTTGTTCACTGGCGTCACACCTACCAAGGAAAGGACACTCTACATTACGGAGAGGTTCCTACCTTATTTCATCATGGAAAAAGGAGGTTTTAAGTGAAGCATCAACTCGATAAATGCAGAGGGAGGAAGATGTCAGAGATGGGTCTGTGGCCCCTGTGCCCAGGACTGGGACTTGGAGGGACAGGGGGAAGAGTGGCAGCTCCTATAGGGGAAGGGGTCCCAGGAAGAGAGGTCTAAGAGCCGTTGCGCCTCTCCCTCCTGCGAGAAGACTCCGGAGCTACCACGAAACAGGAAGCCCCGGGTGTTTCTTAGAAATGGACATCTACCGCTGCAGCTCCCTGAAGCCACGTGGCGGGAGGCTGGGGCCCCCCAAGGCCACTTCTCACAGCTACAGGACCATTAGCTGTGGGCACGGACAGGCAGCCACTGCTGGTGCAACAGCCCTTCTTTCCCACGTGTGTGCTCAGGAGCTCTAGCTGAGATGGTTAGCTCGAAATTTTAAGAGAACACAAAGGAGGGAGGTTATCATGAGCATCAGATCATCTGAAGCATATGGAGCGAGGTCCGTGCCAAGCTCCTGTTGGTCAGGACAGAAACAAGATGCAGTGGATGTGCTCAGAGCAACATGAGAAAGGAGTGTGCAACCAGGCTGAGAGGACGAGCCTGATCACGACTCTGGGAGCTGAAATCAATTAGAATAGTGACAGCAGAATCCTGACAGTTGTAGCCGATGAGATCAATCTTGTCGTCTCTCTCTCACCATCTCCCATGAGTGCACACACTCACACACATGCATGCACGTGCACACATATGCACACACCCCCTCCCAGGAACCTTAAACCTAACATTGCAAGCATTTTGTTTCCATATTGAACCATTTCAGTAATCTGCCCTCAAAGGGATTCAGAAAATGCCATGCTCCGCCTCCATGTGCCTGCTCCGTGTCTGTCAGCCGAGCCAGCTCTTCCGAGAACCTCCCAGCACAGAAAGGCTGCCCAGCACCACTGTCTCCAACTACCCACTCCCGTCAGACTCCCTGCTGACCCGTTCCAATTTTCCCCCAAGGTGTTCAGCCTTCTGATTTCGGCTCACTTCCCAACTCAACACAATCCCCTGGCCTCAGTTTCCCTAAAGCTGTGGGGAAGAAGCTATTCCTCTGAGACCCACCAGGCCAGGCTAAACCCAAGCATTGACCCAAGAAGCATTCCTTTAAGTTCATTTCCCAGCAGACCACACGGGATGATCACTATTCCCTCCCGCTTTCCCCACACACGCAAGCCCGTCAGAGCAGGGGTCCCGGGCCTGGCTGAAGAGATGGCCGCCACACACATACAGTCGCAAGGGAAGCCCTCCAGCATGCTTCGGGGGGAGAGATAACTCAGGGGAACAGATCCGAGGGGCCAGGAAGGACCTGCTGGGGAGCATGACCACCAGCTGCCAGGAGCTAGCACGGGGGAGGCAGCTGGCCTGCCACCCAGAGCCCCAGCTCAGCCATGGACCTCCATCTCAGCCCACAGTTAGACGGTTCGAACCTAAAAAGGCAAAAGTTGTGAGTCATTTGTTGCCTTGTTTCCTGGGCTCAGCTTGCCAAATTCCTGCCGAATTCCTTCTCCTCCTCTTCCTCGCCCCCTCATTCTCCTCTCTGCCACCTCCCAACTCCGACTCCTGAGCTTGTCTGCGTCCCTTCAGCTCAACATACTGTGTTTTTGTTCCCTCAACTCTCCAGGGACCTTCTGACAGAGCCAGGGACACCTTGGCAATCCTGCCGGGAAAGTTTGGGGTTCACAAGGTCATGACCTAGGAGCTGCTCCATCTCTTCTCCTTCCCAGTCCCCACCTCAGCCCAGCCAGTGGGGTGTCTGGCCACACGCGTTCCTGCCGCACTGTCTCCAGGAGAGCGTGGGAGGGCTCGAGGAGTTGGGGCTAACGGGACACCTGCCATTTGAGCCGCTGCTTGGGAGGGGTGCTGCCCGGGAGAGGAGGGTGAGGCCAGAGCAGAGCGGAAGGTGACAGGGAATCTCACCTGCCGGGGGGGCTAATGTCTTTGGGCTCCCTCAGAAAATGGTAAAGGGAAGCCTGGAACCCCATCTCCTTTACATCCACATCAGCTGCCTGACACTGAGCAAATTTCTTCACCCCCCCATTTCCCCGACCAGAAAACCAGTCTGCTGCTGCTTCAGAGGAGTTAAAGAAGTAACATGAGATAAAGAGACTGCCCAGTGTAGGAGGCAAAAGCTACATGCAGGCCAAATAGTCATTCTGTCTCCTCTCCCCTCCCCATGCGCACAAATGGTGTCGAATACAGACATCGCTGAACTGCTGACCCGTTCCAGAGGGGGCTGCACACCCGTGTGGACTCGGTGAGTCTCCATTCACCAACTCAGACCCTTCTCTGCTGGCCCTTCCTTTTCATTAAAACCTGGCATGGCCCAGCAGGGCTGCCCTGCCCTGTGCTGCTGGCCCTTCAGCTTCCTTTGTGCAAAGGGGGCGATGAGCCTGGATTACAGCCCCACATCCCGTCTGGACCCTCTGGCAACGGTGACCTTTCCCCTTGATCCTAGAGATCATTCTGGTGAACATGGCCAGCTGTGGGAGGGTGCCGAGGGCAACCACACAGAACCAGCTCTTTGGGGGCAGGGAATGGACAGGGGAGAAAGCACAGGACCAGTCTTGCTCATTGGGGTTTCCTTTTGGGTAAAATGAAAGTGACCAAGAAGATGACTCTAGTGGTTTTCAGCTCTGAGGAATTTTAAAAAGACTGGGACTGCAGGGCGCAGCTTCCCAGAATTTTGAGCTCAGGCAATGACTCAAATCCTCCCAAAGTCTTGGAGCGCCCTCTAGGGGTCATAGCCTAAATAGTCCTGAACCCTTGTGTTTCATTTGTTTCTGCTCTCAGTCCAGTCGCTTTCTTCCCTGGTGTGTCCATTCATTTGTACACTCTTCATTTATAAGTTCATTCATTTATTCAGCAAGGAAGGACTTCATGCCTCTTTTGGGATAGGCCCATGCTAAGCACTAGCCCCAAAGAAATAGTATGAACTCAAGGCCTGCCCTCAAATCAGCTTTTACCAATACCAGATACTCCTGGGATCACTAAAGGCAGGGCTGAGATCTCAGGCTCATCACAGAACCATGCTGCTGGGTACCAGTTCCCCTGTCTGTGCCTCCGTCAGCAGCCTGGCCCCGCGGTGACGGCCCCCACCAGACTCCCTGCTCTCAGGCCAGAGGGGAACTTCGTGAGGGCGAGGACAGGCTCCCCAGCACTGGTGGCCTCAGTACAGTTGACTACAAGCCCTGGGGTAGAATCTGCACCCAAACGGACCCACCCATGGAAGCAGAGGTCCCATGGTGGGGGAGGGGCTGCGGTGAGTTGGCTGGTGCAAAGTAAACATTGATGTTGAGTAAACATTAATTGGCTCCTTCTCCTCACCCTCATCGCCTGGGGCTGTAAGTTGATTCAAGACTTATTTTAGGTTGTCTCAGGTGAAGTGCCCTGCCCAGATGGGCAGCCCTGATCCAGCTCCGGAGGCACCCATGTCCCAGCCTGACCCGGGTGAGAGAGGCTGCGGTCCAGGGGTTGCCGGGAGAATGACTCACGGGCCAGGAGTCATCGCTGACTCAGAAGGAAGGAGTCAACCAGATTAGCGCTATGTTCCAACTACAACAACACTTCTTTTTTAGAAACCCGTGTCTAACCCAGAGCTTTCCAGGCTTCATCTCTCCTAGAGCAAGGCCTGGAGAGGCTGTGTAGGGGCAGGAAGCGGTGGAAGGCAGCGATGGATTGAGACTTGGAAGAGTCGCTGCCCCTCTGTCAGGCTCAGAGAGGGACTCCCTGCTCTGTAATAGCTGCACCTGGAATGTGGGCAGACCTGGGATGCGGGGCAACTGTGTGTGGTCACTGCGCCCCCTGGTGGGAGCATGCTGCCTTGGTATCCACAGAAGGACCTGGTCCTCACCTACCCCCGCTTTTCCATGGGATTCAAGGATCACAGCCTGCTCAGAAAAAGGAGCAGGGCAGTGTGTATTTGTGTATTTGTGCATCTGTGCACACTTGCTTGCAAACATGCATGTGTGTATGTGTGTGGCTCCCTTCATTGCTTTGCCCATAACCGCATTAAGTTAAGCTGATGCTCCCAGCCCAACCCCAGGGTACGGAATCAAAACGTACAGTGACCCTGGGCCTCAGTTTCCTCATTGGTATTTCAAAGAGCTTGGAGCTGATGCGATAAGTCCCCCTCCAAATGTAACTGAGTCCTAAGGCGCTATGATTCTGGAGTGGGGAGCTGAGGGGGGAGGGAAGGTCCCAAATCCCCCAGGAAATGCTTCCTCTCGTCAGCAGCGGAAATAAGGTCAACCTAATATTTCTTTCCCTGCCCCTCACGTCCAGAAGGCAGGTCGGGAGGCCATGTCAGGAATGAGAACAGCTGCCCTGAGAATTAACCAGGGAAGCGTGCCGCCCGAAAGCCCACCCCCGCCCCCCGGAGTTCATGACTCACTCGGCTGGAATTTTCTTCTCCAGCTCTGGTATTTGCTGGGAGTCGGGGACTGGAAGCTGTTGGCCCGTTGCAGAGCTGTAGTGAGAAACAGAAAGGGGCAGGGAAGGTGGGGAGGGAGAAAGAGTCTGTTAAACATGTAGAAAAAACAGGGAGTTTTCTCCTATGGTCCATCTACCAAAAGTTAGTTGGCTAATGATCATAACTGACTGAACCCCTTCCTTCCCTCGGACGGCACCTTCCTGTCCCACAGCACACACCCCCAGTTCCCACTCAGTCATTCATCAAACACTCACTGAGACCCTGCTATGGGACAGGACTGCCACCTTTCAGAAAGTGCCTCAAATTATGAGCCAGCATTCTAAACTGTCCATCACTAATAAGTATATTTAATATGTGTACACGGTTATATGCCTACATGTATACACATATACATACACGCCCCCCCCCCACACACACACACACTGGTTTTTAGCAGAGCAGTTCTTCAAAGCTGAAGTCTCACATCAGTGTCCATATCGGTACTAAAGACGGAGCCGCTGTCATTGAAACCTGGGAGCTGCAGGAAGCTCTAGTCTCTCCCCCCTCCCCTCAGAGCCCCGAAATCCGTGGGGACCAGTTTTAACCGAACCTCTGGACAGTCCATTGCCATGAACATCCTCTTGGCCTTGGCTGCAATGGAGACGTTTGCAGGAGGCTGTGAGTGGGCACGGGGGACCTTCTGCCCAGCAGGGCCTTGAGGAATAGCCGAGAAAAGGAACATCACAGGCAGAAGAAGATTCCCACACTGGGCACAGATGTGGCCTCAGGCTTCAGGTCCCTGTGGCGGTTCCATCACAGTCTTGACAGAAAGAATGGGGGTGATTCATGTCTGAATGCTCACCCAGGTGGGACCAGCGGCGTGGAAGGAAGAAAGGCCACGGGAGTGACTGGGTGTGGGGAGAGTGCAGGGACGGCCTGAAGCAGGCCTCTCGGAATCCGAGGCCCAGCTGGCACTGCCCTCTCTCTCTGTCGCGAGTCCTGGATTCCACCCAGCTCCCTGCCGGCTCAGAGCTGGGTGTCAGCTTGCCAGCCAGGATGTGCAGCACAGGTGTCAGCCACAGCCCGGGGGCTTCCTTCCCTCGGGACAAGATCCTTCGGCCCTTCAGCTTCTCGGCACCCCTCCCTCCCTTACTGCATCTGGAGAGGACTTGAGCCTGCTCTGGACGGCGGGTCACCACCCCACAGGCCTGTTTTCATAGTCACACCCATGGGTTTGAGGGGAGCCTGTGTGGACAGGCGCAGGGTGCAGTCTGCCCGTCTCCCCAACACAGGATGCACAGTCTGCCTTCGATCTTGGTCTACTTCCTCCCACCAAGTGCAGGTCAGGGCTTTCCAGACTGGCTTCCCCGCACAAGGAGCAAGGCAGCCTCAGGGCCGCCAGCCTGCCGGCCCAAGTCAACTCATCATAGCTCATGGAGAAACTACTCAGCATGGAAGAGGGCTTAAGGCTCTTGCTGCTTCTCCTTAGCTTCAACTCTGTGGAATGGAGCTTATGAGAAATGGCTCAAGTTCACGAGAGATTTTCCCACCGCCTGTGTGTACAGGGCACACACGTACACATTTTACCACAGTAGAGTGGGTCATGTTGAGCAGAGTACAGCAGGGCTGTTCCCTTCTTTTTACCTTATGTGTTATTCCTATTTATTTAACGTATTCATATATATTTTAAGGGAGTGCTTTTGTAGATCTTAGACCGTAGGCATTGTGCCATAGGACTGATGATGCCATTTTATTGATACAAACTAGCAGTGTCCTCCATGGGCCACTGGGCCATCCTATTATCAAATTACAGGATGAACGACAACAACAAAAAAAGGGTTAAGACCAAATTTTCTAAATCAGAGTGATTTGGGGGCAGAGTGTCCTCCTTACTGTAGGAGGGTTATGTCCAGGAGCTCAGTGTACAGCTCGATCATGGCATGGCTTAGACGGGCATCTGTGCAACTTCTCCAGCCCGCAGGCCTGGGGAAGCCGCTCTTCTGCGCTTCCCACAGGGCTGGACTCGCCCACCCCCCGGCACAGAGGCATCTGGGGGCTGCGTGAAATGCAAAGCATTGGCCCCACCCTAGACCCACCAATTCCCAACCTCTGGGGGTGGGAGGGCAGAAATGTGCCTTTCAAACAAGGTCGGTGAGGATCACGAAACTAGGTGTTTCAGGGGAGCAGTACTGAGCGTTTTCTGTGGCCGCGATAACGCAGGGCTTGAGGTCTGTTTCACACCTTCATCTCGGGTGTGGTCTATGCTAAAGACCTTTGAGGAGGTGATAGGTTCCTTGATGAGCTGAGGTGGTCCCAGATTGTGGTGAAATGCACAAAACGTAAAAATGGCCATTGTTGTCATGGTAAGTGTCCCGTTCAGTAGTGCTGTGCAATCATCCCCACCACCCACCTCCAGAACGTTTCCCTCATCCCAAACTGAAGCTCTACCCCTTGAACAGCTCCCCACCCACCTCTTCCCCTGGCCTCTGGTAAGCGACATTCTACTTTCTGTCTCCATGAACTTGACTATTCTTGACACCTCACAGAGGTGGAAATCACACAATACTTGTCTTTTTGTGCCTGGCTTATTTCACTTAGCATAATGACTTCAAGACTCATTCACACTGTAGCATGTTCTTCGGGCTGAATGACATTTCACTGTGTGGCTACAGCACAGTTTGCTTATCCGATCACCTGCTGATGGACAGTCGGGTCGGCTCTCCCTTTTGGCGGCTGTGAATGCTGCTGCTATGAGCAGCACTGCACACACACCAGGATTCTTTTGAAAGCAATAGCTCGGTCTTGTCCAGCATTTTCTTGGCTTGTCTCTGAACCGCCCATCCAGGTGATTCACAAAGCTTCCAACACCCACAGCATGATGTCAACCCTACATTATCTGCTAACGTGACGGACACCAACCAGCCACAGTGTGTGGACCATGCCAGAGACTATCCGTATGGAGTGGTTTGCCTTCCAACGATCCCAACCAGGGTGGGTGAAGTTAAAAGGGACAGATGATTGCTCGAAAGTCATGCGGTCTGTCCACTTCGGTCTACTCTGTGTGGTGTTCTGGAATGAAACTGGACCGTCAGAAGCAAAATGCGTTGGCCACAGTGCCTTGTTCTCTCAACCCAACTCTGGGAGAACGGCTCCTGTCAGGTCCTGTTTTGGGGTCACGCCCTCGCCTGCTGGCAAGGGACGCCGCCGAGGGCTACAGCCTCGGGAGAGCCGCGGCTGCGTACTTCCCAGAGCCCCTGCTCGAGACGCGATCGGATGCCTCTCTCAGCATCGTCCATTTGTCAGGAGCTGAAACATTTCTCACGAGTGAAGCGTTGGAGGCAGAGGGTCCTGCCACTGCAAACCAACACACATTTCCCCTCACGGACAAGGAGGATAAAAACGGTCTGTTTCCCTTTTAATTCAGGCTGCCAGGAAATTCAGAATTGAATTTAGGATTCCCTGAGAGCACCTGTCCAGGCTACGACCATCCTCTCCGGGGGCTCTACCTCCTCAGCTGGTTTGTTGACCCTGATCATGAGGCTGTCTTCCACGTATGCAGACAGACAGCTTTGTTTTACGTCTTTCTCATAAATTGCCCCAACCCCCTAGCAACTGAGGAGGGAGGAGAAAAGGAGGCAAAGAAGGAAAGGCAGGCCAGCTTCGTGTTCTGAGTGAGGAGGCTGGAGCCGCCAGTCCCTTTGCTCACCTGTAAACCGAGACGGAGGGCCCACCTAGGCCTGGCAGCCCCTGGAGAGAGGCAGGCTGCGCCCAGCACCGCACTGTCCCTCCGCAGGTGCTAACCCTTCCTGGATAGCACCACACATGGCACTTAGCAAAGGTGTCCTTTGTAGAAGCAGGCTCACAGGGGAGGGTCAATTTAGAACTCCCAAGATTTTGGCCTCAGCCTTGGTCTTCCTGGTCCACCACTTTCATGGTGGTTCCTGGGAAACCACCCCCCAGGAGAACTTTCTAGGTTCCAGTGTCAATTCCGCTCTGGCCCACCAGAGGGCAGTGCAGGACAAGCTGAGCTTCCGCTCTCAGGGACGGCCTGGCCATTGGTCCTGCTGGAGGCATTTCTATTCACCTGTTCCTCCCACGCTCATTGCTGCTGACAAGTCAAAACACCCGTTCAAGGCCACCTGTATTAAACAAGCTGCTTCTAAGGGCAGCTTCCTCTGGTAGAGAGGCACCCAGCATCGGGCCAGGTACTAACTGGGAGACCTCAGAAAAACAGTCCGTTTGCTCACCTGTAAATTGGGCTTCACAGGACTTACCTTGAGGGTCCTGGGAGGATGAATGGGCATGTGTGGGAAAAGCCCGGCCCATTCCAGGTACTCCGTGAAAGTGTGTTTTTATTAGATCAGTGGTTTTACTGCATCCCACAAGCCCTGAGCCCTGGCAATGGCCCCGGGCGCTGTCTGGGGCACATGAGGTCCAGTAGCAGCTGAGCCCACCTCTCCCGTGTGGTGGGCTATGGAATGCCAGAGGGGCCCCAAGGAGATACAAAGGAGCAGACTACTCCAGGCAGGAGGGTCCTGGGCCACCTTATCTCTGCCTGCCTGTGACACACAATGACAGGCAGGCCCCTGCCAGCTTCCTATTTGAGATTCCAATGCTTCCCATGAAGGCAGTGGTGGGCCTGGGTCACCCCCAATTGCACCCCAGCCACCTAGTCCCAGCCTCACTGCCTCTGAGCCTGCAGGTCATATCTCCTGTCACCTGGTCCTCCATGAGTCAAAACTGGGGCTCTGTGCTCCTTCCCCACACCCCAGGACCAAGCAAGCCTGTCCCTGCAGGCAGGCTCTCTGCTCACCATGCAGAGCTCGGGGCCCCTCAGGGCACTGTCCGGAGGCTGCCCTGGTCAGGGGCTCCCTCAGGGAGCTGTGGCGGGTGAGGGGCTTCGGTAGGGGTGCGGGTTCCGGCCGCTGGGGTCTCTCCTCACAGGGCTCCGCACCGGAGGCCTCGCTGCTGCCGCAGTTCAGCTCAGCTTCAGAGCTGGAAGGAGGAAGAGAATGTGGGTGACCAAGGAGCCCTGCCAGTCACCCCCAAACCCACACTGTCCTACCTACCACTGCCTCCAGAAGACTGGGTTCTCGGCTGCATAACTGTGACCCCCCAAATTCATATGAAGTCCTAACCCCTAGTACCTCAGATTGTGACTGCATTTAGAGATAGGGTCTTTAAAAGGGTAATTACATTAGAATGAGGTCATTAGGGTGGGTCTTAGTTCAATATGACTGGTGTCCTTGTAAGAGGAGGAAACTAGGACAGACAGCCATTGTAGGAAAATGTCACGTGGCCACGAAGCTCACCTTCGACATACAACCTAAGGACAGGAGCCTGGAACAGATCCCCTTACACCCGCAGAGCCGCCCTGCCAGCACCCTGACCTCGGACCCAGCCTCCGGACCGAGGCAGCTCATCTCTGCCCGTTAAGCCTCCAGTGGTGCTCCCAGCAGCCTTAGCGAGCGCGCCCCGGCGTGGATCAGCGCAGGAGGCAGACGCCCAGCCCTGGGCAGTGGAGCACTGGTGTGGAGGCTGGTCCTCTGCCTGCACCCACCCCTGCGCATGACCTGTGAGCTCTCTGGGCAATGAGCTCCTCACAGGAGCCTGGTCCTAAACCTTCAAGCATTAATTCTGCTTGCCCCGCTTGCGGGCGGTGGGGGAGTGGCAGTATTTACGCGGGTCTGAAATGACCAGCAGGAATGCAAAAGGCAGAGACGGGGAAGCAGGTGTCCTGAGGCTCCAGGACAGGCGAGAAAGCGCAAAGCCGGCCAGACCGTGCGTCTCAGTCAGTGTGTGCACTCTCTCTGCATACATACCTCCAGTGTGCTGCTGTTTGGTCCCTGCCCCGTGTCCATTTGGTGGACTGTCCATCAGACTGGCCAAGCCCATCAACCCTGGCACCCCAGTCCTGTTCACCAGTTAGCCCCAGAGGGGGGCATGTGACATTGGAGGCCTACCTCGAAGTCTTGGCACAGGGGACGTGCATTTATGCGTATGGGCTGTGGCCCTCAGTGGCCGCGCATGGAGACCCCTCTCTGAGCACTGCTGTGACCCAGCGTGCAGGCAGCAGGAGCCCGCGCGTGGGGACCCCTCTCTGAGCACTGCTATGACCCAGCGCGCAGGCAGGCAGGAGGGCAGCTGTTTGAGTCTCTGCTCCAACCTCGCCCATCAGAGGAACCAGTCTGTTACTTAAGCCAGTCTGAGTTCTACACAGTTTACACGTGAATTCTTTGATCTTCCAACTCCCTAGGACACGGGAGCTACGATGGCCCCGTTTCACAGATGAGGAAATGGAGGCACAGAGAGGTCATACTGCAAGTAAGCAGAGAGAAGACCAGCTTCTGAATACTGTCCCCCTTCCCAACCCACGCTGTCCCCCCCTACAGTGGCCTGGGCATACCTGCTGTCGTCGCTGGTGACCAGCACACACACAGCCAGCACGTCCTGCCCAGCTGCGTCCTCCCCGGGGCTGATCCTCACGGAGGTCCACTCAGAGGGCAGGGGAGAGGTGGCTCTACCTTCCACAGCACCAGGCTCTGGCTCCGGGACACTCTTGGGCTTCTTGGGGGAGGTCGGCTCATCTGCTGAGAAGAGAAGAGGGTCTAGAGAGACGGTGGGCACGGGCAGCCCTGCAGGCACCTGCTCTGCCCACAGAGGCCTGGGCAGGCTGCTGGCAGGGGCTGGAGTGCGCCCTGGTTCCTCACTCCCTCCCTGGCAGCCCACAGCACTGGAGTAGGTGGGGTCTGCCGCCCTGCCCAGCTGACATGAGACTCAACCAGGAGGCCTGCTTTGACCAGGGGAAACCAGTGGATGCAGTGTGACAGGTGGCTGTTGGAATGCTGCTCGCCTCCACTCAGGCCTGCTGGTTTTCCGTAAGAGCTTGTCCCAGGTAACCACTGCCTCTTCCGCCTTGGTCCCTGGTTGCAGGCACACGGAACAGATCTGGAGCCAACCTACAGCCCGGAGCCTGGCCAATTCCATGAGAGCCCAGGCCACCCTTGTACCTGCACCCTGAGCAGGGCCACCCAGCCAACCCACAGACCTACGGACAAGAAAAAGATGCTACAAGCCACTCAGGGTTTGGAGGCTTGTTGCACAGAATGACTGTAGCAGAGACCTGACTCTTTGCTAGGCTTATAGCTGAGTACAGGTACGTGTACTTGTGAGCTGCATGTACAAATACGTATTTAGTCAGCAGATGCTACTGATTCAGGCCAGTGTTGGAGGGCCGGAGAGGAGTCAGCCACGGTCTCTGCATTCAAGGCTCTCTTCACGGGGGAGAAGAGGCATATTCACGAATATCTACGTTATAAGGTAGACCATCTAACAGTGAAGCCGACACAAGGAGGAAGGGGAGGGAGATCTGACTTCCAGGAAGTTAGTGCTTTGTTGAAGGCACCATTTGAGCCAGGCTGGAGGACAGTAGGAGCTGAACCCGGAGGAGAGGTGGGTGCTGCAGGGGGCGGACTTCTGTGAGCAGAAGCAAGGGGAAGCACTTCCTGCAGGGAACAGGTGTGGCTGGAGGGCAGGGAGTAAAAGGAACCGGTGGGAAGGGATGGCACTGACGTCCACCCCGAGGGCCTCAGAGGGCAAGGCAGAGCCCCCTTGACTGTGAGCAGCCCCTGCAGGCCTGGAAGAGAGGGACGCACCGAGCCAGCTCTGCATCACAGACAGACTGCCCTGGCTGCAGGACCCAGGAGAGGGGACCAGTGAGCAGCCCTACAGGTCGAGAACGTGCAGCTGGAGAAGAGGAGAGTGTGTGTGTGGGGTGGGGTCCGCGAGCAGCCTGGCAGGACAGGGCAGCTGCAGGCAGAGGTGACCTGCACCAGGCGGCGGTGGCACCAGGCCTTCGGCCCCCACACCCCAGGAGCCAGCCAACCGTGCACGGGACATCCCACGGGTCTGCTTCTCCCCTCCTCCTCCCGGACAGTTCTGACTTTGCCAGCAGGGCTGAGGCGTGGGACAGGGTGAGGGCTCAGGGTGGCATCCTGGGCCTTTGGAGGGGTGGGGACAGGCCTGACTGATGATCCCTCAGCACCACAGGGTCGGCCGGCCCGCATCTGTCACAGTGGAGCCCAGACATCAGTGGAGGGGTGGGAGAAGGTGGCACTAGAAGACTGAGGGGAAGAAGCTGATGCTCCCTCTGATCACCACGTTTCCCAGGCAAAAGGCCCCCAAGGGGGGCATGCTCTTCCTCTCCTGCCCCAAGGCCCAGCCCACAGCGTGTCTCTGGGGTTCAGTGCCGCTCCTCAAGCGTGCACTTCTAGGCACCCCTTTTGTTCCCGGTGGACCCGTCCACATGCACACCCCGGGAGTGCAGGGCACTAGTGCCGGGGACGGAGGTCATCAGATGGCAATGGGCAGCCACACTGGCGCACTGTCCGGTGCCCACGGGCCTCCCGCATCCTGGCAGCCTGAAGGGACAGGGTGCTCATCTCCATCTCGTGAGTGGAGGAACACAGGAGTGGGAGTCCAGAGAGTAACCTAGCCAGGGCCACCCAGGGAGCCAGCTGGACCGCCCCTGCGGGGACGCGGAGCAGCCCCAGGTGAGGGACCAGGGTGTGCGCCTCTGTGCCGCCGCCCCAGGCCCGGCTGCTCTTTGTCACGGACTGTGCCTTAAGTTGTCTGTGGTCATAGGGGAATCGGTGCTCCCGTGGGGCTGGGAGCGGCCCGGGTAGGGGTACCTGGGGGTGGGCTAGAACAGTCCCACACCTCTGGGCCAGCTGCCCCGGCCCCCCAGAGGGAAGCGAGGCTCAGGGCTGAGCACCGCCCCTCTCGGAGCTCGCCAGCCGCCTGCTCCCTGGGGAAAGGTGAGACCCAGAGGCAGAGCCAGGCAGTGTCCGATGTCTGTCCTGGCTCTCCACTCCCAGCTGCCATGTCCTGAGTCCCTTCCCCGCACGGCCGCTGCTGCAGAGTCAGGGTGACGACCCTTGTCCTGGTTCTGCTGGTGAAATTGTTTCTACCCAGCTCAGGGACCCTCCCACTCTCCCCCAGAGCCCAAGGAGACAACCTGTTCTCCTGTGTAGTAACCCCATTTTACAGATTAGGAAACTGAAGATCATGCCCCTTGGAAGGCAAAATAGAAGCAAAATCCAAGCTCCTTTCTCCCAATCAGCCAGAGGGCTCTGCGGAGGTAGCAGACAGACAGTGTCATCGTTCTGTTCAGGTTCCCCCTCCTGAGCCACGAGCCAACGCCAGCAGGACCTCCCCCAGCCCAAGTCGACTGCAGGTGCCTCGGTCTGAGGTCCAGGCCAGAAGGCAGAGCCGGCCATTCCTTTATGAATTCTACAAATATGTACTGAGGGCCTACTGTGTGCCAAGCACTGTACCACCTGTTGGGGTGATGAGTGGTCAAAAGAACCAAAGACCCCTGCCCTGGGGGAGTGTATGTTCTAGCAAGGGGAAACTATGAGCACACAATACACACAATCCGTACGTGAATTACGTAATAGGCTGGAGGGGATAAATGCTATGAAAAAAATCATCTCGTCAGGAAAAGGGGATCAGGAGAGCTGGGGCTGCAGGCTGCAGTGTTGAAGGAGCTCCCGCTGGGAGGGAGAGGTGGGAACAGGGGTTTGACTGAAGGGCAGGGTCAGCCGTCTGGATGCTGGGGAAGGGCATTCCGGGCACAGGGAACAGGCTGTGCAAAGGCCGTCAGATAGAGAGGAGCCCGGTGTGGCGGGGACGCAGAGACAGGAGGAGAGCAGGTCCGAGTCCCAGGAGCCAGACCATATTGGGCTAAGGCCATCGCAAAACGAAGTCCTGCTGGCAGGTGTCAGGAGGGACGGGGGCTCCAGTGCTGAGGCTGGGTGTCTGAAGGGAGGTTGGGAGATCAGAAAACTAGAGACAAATAGATGTTGTCTCCCAGACTGTACTGAGACCCCCATTTAGCTCCCAACCTGAAGACGCCCTGTCCGGTGCTCTGAGCCCCTGCTGACCTAGAAAGCCTGCCTCAGGACACTGCCCACTGCACGGAGCCAGGAAAGCACTGCCCAGATCTCCGAGAGCCCCCGCTGCCCCGCGTGCCCCTCAGGCATGCTCACCCACGCTGCCGGCACAGAGCCTGGATTGCTGAGTCAGCACGAAGGGCTGCAGTCAAAGTCCAGGGCTCTTCCCAAGCGCCAAGCCCGTCCCAGGAGCACCTGCCTCCTGGCCTGGGCCCACGGGACGCTCTGTTCCCTTACAGTTGAAAATCCGGCTCTAGACCAGCTCCCTGCTCTCAGTGAGCTTCTTCAACGTCAGCACCAGCTTCAAGGTTGCCATGAAGAGGCGAAGAGTTTACGAGATGCCCCACAGGAAGTGCTCGCCCCGTGCCTGGTGCGAGGAAGCGCTCGTCAACCACAGCTGTCCCCAGGGCCGGAGGAGCAGCAGTTGCTTCTTTTACTTATTTCAGGGATTAAAGAAAAAGCTGTGTGCCCTGGCCAGTTTGGCTCAGTGGTTAGAGCGTCGGCCTGTGGTCCGGAGAGACCCGGGTTCGGTTCCCGCTAAGGGCATGTACTTCGGTTGCAGTTTGTCCCCGGCCCTGGTTGGTCGTGCGGGTGGCAGCCACTCGATGTGTCCCTTTCACATCGATGTTTCTCACTCTCTCTCCCTTCCTCTCTCTCCCTCCCACTCTATCTGTACAAAAAATGGAAAAATATCCTCGGGTGAGGATAAAAAAAAAAAAAAGAAAAAGCTGTGAACATGAGTGAGTTCGCAGCAATAAAGGAGAACAGCCCACCCACTCTGCTCGACCCCCTCACGCCACTTACTATTCTGGCTGCACGGAGATCTGCTTCTTCTGCGGATTCTTTCCTGAGGCCCAGTCCCCTGGGCGGGGTTCCGGGCCAAGGTCAGAGGCCTCTGATGGATCGCATAATTGTTGCCATATTGCTTTCCAGAAGGGACTGTCCTCATGTACTTGTCCTCAATCTAGTTGCTAAGTTCATACATTTTTTTTCTTTTAAAATCTATTTTTTTTCTTTACCAGTTCAACGGGTAAAGCATAATCTGTTCACATTCTTCTTGTAAATACTTGCTTTTTCTTTTTAGCATTTACTTTTTAATTTGCTTGAGCATGAGCTGTCAATGCATGGTCTTTGCCCATTTATCACTGTTTTTTGTTTTTTTTTAATCCTTACCTGAGGACATTTTTCCACTTTTTGTTCAGACAGAGTGGGAGGGGGAGAGAGAGAGAGAAACATCGAAGTGAAAGGGACACATCAAATGGCTGCCACCCGCATGATCCAACCAGGGCCGGGGACAAACTGCAACAGAGGTGCGTGCCCTTAGTGGGAACCGAACCCGGGTCTCTCCGGACCACAGGCCGACACTCTAACCGCTGAGCCAAACCGGCCAGGGCTATCACTGGGTTTTTAATCAGCAAATATTAACTGATCAATGACAACTGTGCCAGGTGCTTTGCACGAACGTTTTAAATGCTGTGCCAGTGCACTTCTGTAATCACATCTAATTCAGACTCTCTTCTCCTTCTGACGGCCCTATTAAACATTTTTATTTTTATTGTTATATCCTGAGTTTTAAAAATGGACATTCCGATTTATGTCATGTTTTTCCTATGTCACTTTTTCTGCCCGAGGTT